GAAGAATAAAAGCATTCGTCAAAACATCGCGGTCGTAGGGTTTTTGTGATGGTGACATCAACTTCAGCAAAAATGTTCTTAGTCCTACATATTTAGGACAATTTTATTGATTGCTGAATAGTTTCACGTCTGTGTACTTAAATATATCAATGATTGAAACCTATGTTTTAATTAACTAATAGAGAAATCGTGATATAACTTTGATAGCGTATTCTGAGGACGTCAAACAAGGTTTATGGTCTCTAATGTGTGAAATAAAGTTAATATGGTGTTTAGTGCTTACAATTGTAGTTTTTTTTTACCTACAACAGATAAGACAAAAGCTAATTAAAAAAAATATTTGAAAAGACTAGCATTTCTTTCTTCAGTATCGTCTGTTCGCATCTCTAAATAACATCTAAGTAACAGCACAGAATAGACAGTTATGACCTATATCTTTTATTTCGTTTCAACGACACCCGTATCAACGTTTTACGGTCTAACCGTAAGTTTCCACTGCCGAAACAGCTAAACAATATATTGCTATCACTAGTCTTCCAAAGGAAAAGATAAAGACGATAATATACAATGGTTTTGCCAGTGAAATCCTACTGTTAGAATGTTGCGTGATGCGTGCTGAGTTATTCAGACGATACACGCTACTTGTAATTATTCAATTATCTTTTGATTCAATTGATGACGTCAATAATACAAAAAAAACTACCGTATTGTTAACCGGATAATATGCCGCGTTGTTCTTTACAACAGAATAAATCTGTCGCTCGTAATCGAATCGGATTTCTTTTCATCAGGAAATAAAAGACTACTGTACACTTCGTATGGGATGTTTAAAAGGTACCAGACCATACAATAGCAAAAACAGAGATAGTAGGAACTTAGCACTAAATCCCCTCATTAGTCATCCTGGAGAGGGCCTGTGATTTCCAAAGAAATGCTTTCGGACCTCTACACTAGAATAAATGTAGACCTAACTTACAAATTCCAAAAACATATATCTTTAGTAAATGCCCGTTGGGCTTAGGTGAAGAAACGTAAAAGCTTTTCATGCTATCTGTACAATAGTACAGTCTTCAAATTATAATAATAATATTGAAAGACAAGATATGCTAACAAGTTATTTTCCAGTTAATGCGTAAAATAATATTTGCCCAAGATATACTTGTCAATTATAATGATTATGCAGAACTACTTAATTGTTTTTGCATATCTTATTGTTATTTGTGATTATTCAAATGAGAAACTTCTCAGATCACTCTATTAAATCGGTTAAATATACATACTGGATAAGCGAAAATAATTTCAGATCGATTATTAGTTTCGGCCATTGTTTGATTACGTTTTTAGTTTTTATTTTTGGATCATGAACCATTGCATAAAAATGTTATGGTTTTAATCAATATTTGTTTTACTAATACGTTACGTTACATACTGTCTAACTTTCATTAAGGTATTTATTTAATTTTACATTAAAAGTAACATTAATGGATAAGATACAAAATGTGTATGTTAGAGGAAGTTTGAGAGTAGCCCCAGTCGTAGAGAAGGTAAGGAGTAAATGGTTACGTGGTGTGGGCATGTTATGAGGTGGGATGAATCGCATGTTACAAGGAGAACGTTAGTTATGAGTATGCAAGGGTACATCGGTAGAGGTACACCTAGAAAGAGATGGATGGATTGCGTAAAAGGTGACATGATCAAAAAGGGAGTGATGACTGCGATGACGTATGATAGTTATGTGGAGGACAAAAACCTGTTATGCCGACCCTACGGGAGTAGGATAAGGAGAAAGATCATCATCTCCCCTGCCTTATCCTACTCCCGTAGGGTCGGCGCACCGGGTTTTCGTCCTCCAAAGCATTCTATCATCCGTCATCTCAGTCATCACTCCCTTCTTGATCATGTCACCTTTCACGCAATCCATCCATCTCTTTCTAGGTCTACCTCTACCGATGTACCCCTCCACATTCATAACTAACATCCTTCTTGTCACATGCGATTCATCCCTTCTCATAACATGCCCATACCACTCTAACCTTTTACTCCTTATTTTCTCAACCACTGGGGCTACTCTCAAACTTCCTCTAATAAGAATAAGGAGAAAGATGATGGTGATTAATAATAATCTCTACCATCAAAGATCTTGCAGACTTAAACCTGTAATCTAGATTAAATTGGTTCTCAAACTTATTGGTAATCTTCAACTAAACCTTGACACGTAATATCAATAACGATCGACCTAAATATTTCACGTAACTGTGACTAATTCAATCGTTGTAGTCATTACGCTAGCGGACATCGCACGCGATGTCAATTTGGAAGTGAACCCCATGCACTATTGACACGATAAGGAGTTATGCAATATATCAGTATATGTCCCTAACAATACTGCACATATTGGGTAATTGCTGATATTTGTATAGCATTTCTTTCTTTTATGTATTTCTAATGATTGCTTTAGTTAACAATGAACCAAGTGACATAAACTATATCGAAGTTTACCAGCGTTTTTTGGCATAAAACAACGCACTATCCTTGTCAATACAGATAAATAGCTTTCGCCCGCGACTCCTTCCGCTTGGAATTAAAAAAAATGAAAAGTGAGTAGTCTATGTGTTTCAGACTGTCATCTCCTCTGTACTAAATTTGATCAAAATCCGTTCAGCCGTTTAGGCTACAAACTCTAACAAACATACATCTACTTTCGCAGTTATCATATTAGTATATGATATCTAAATTCACAAGCGAGTGGGGACATAAAACAATGTACTATGTATTCTTCTAGTACTTATGCTCTAAGTGTAAACTCTACGTAACAGCTTGGAGTCTATTTGTAGCGTTAATTACTGCGTACACCATCGCTGATGAGGTAATCCGGATGAATCTTGTTACGTAACAATCGACAATTGTAACACGCTATACAGAGACCATAGACAATAAATAAAACTATACAAGCAAAAAAGCTTATTGTTTACTTGTTGAAAAGTTACAATTTAAATACGTCATTTTTTTATTTATCGATCAGTAAAATATACATAATTATAATAAAAGTGTCCCACAGATATTCTTTTTTATAATCTACGTTTGTGGTGGTTTGTTTTGGATCATAGCTACGCATGGAAGGTTGCTTTCAGTAGATAATTTAAGTGTCTTTCTAATAAAAAGGAACTCAAAAAGACAATCAATCTTACTTTAAAATACATTTCAGTGTTCGCTTCATATCCTACCTTTTCGCAATTGACCGAATAACAGTTCTCGTAATATAATTCAATATTTCATAGATATCTCTGGATCCATTTCTGATAACCAAAAGGGGCACAGAGTAGATATGCCGGCTATTAACAACGAGTATATCAATTGTTTACCGTTTGTTATTGCACTGTGTCACTTTAGTGGGCGTAGTAATGGCGTTCTTGCATTTAACTGTACAATAAAAAATTACATCATCGTTTATTTTCTAAGTCACAGTGAAGGGCGGAGTTTGTAGCAACATTGTACAATGTTTACACAGATAATTGACATAGGGTATCATCTAAACTGTATCATGTTATTTACTTCCTTAAAACGAATTATTTCATTGAGAGATTAAAGAGCAAGAGAAGTTGTTTAATCATTTACTTACTTTATCACTGCATGTTACATTTTAACAGTGGTAGAGCCCGGTTTAACATCTTCGCACGAATGGGCCGGCTCGCCCGGTGTACTACCACGACCACACAGAAAACACGCGTCTGATGAGTGTGGTGCTGGAGGCCTATTTTGTTCCCTTTCCCTTTCCTTTCTTTTCTTAAGAGGAAAGGATGGGATGGAAAAGTGGATTTGACGGTGGAGGAGACGCATAGGTAGGAAAAAGGTCCTATTTATGTGCATCTCCTCCTCCGTCAATTAAGGGTAGGCAACGCATCTGCAATTGCAGATGTTTATGGGCAGCGGTTGCTCTCCATTTCGGTGGATTCAGGTTGCCGGTTGCTCGTTTGCCACCCTATATTATAAAAAAAATGTCACATCAGTGCATATTTCCCGCATTTTCTAACTAAAGATGTAAAAATTGTTCCATTAAATTCGCGTTATAGATTTGTAAAAAGCAATTTGTCAATGCAATAAATATTTTATGGTAAGTCGTGAGGATCATAATAAGAAGACGATACCAAATATTTTTTTATCTTACTCAAGTGTTTTGGGAGCTTATTTAATTTCCTAGTAACATAAAAGGTTGATTTTTGTTGCTATTCCACTAGATTGGTGTTAAAGTTTTGCTTAGCGTAGGTTTCCATTGCCAAAACACTGATTGTTTACGTATATATACTCTTGTAAACTCGCGGTAAAAGTGGCCAGCAAGTGATTATCACATAAAAAATCGTAGTTATTTAGCAACAGTTTGAAAGCGCTTTTTGTTATAATAGAGCAAAGCCCTTTTATATCACAGTCAATGTACGTAACTGTACACCGCCGGTTGACCAAATGCAAATTGAAGCGATATTTCATTGTGAACATTCGCCATGTGTCCTAAAAACTTATGAATGGGACAAATGTATGCACAGGCACTCCGTCCTTGTCACTCATGTTGGTATTGTGCATGCATGAAATCATAACTGTCGAAAATACTACTGCAGTTATGATTTCTAGTACCTGATCCAGGCAATGCTTTTTAAAGATGATCAATCTCTGGTCATAAGTAGACTTCCTCGTTATTTGGAGATCCCAGTTCAAGTCGATACTACAAAATTATAATCTACTACATATATTTATGTGGGAATGGGTTTTGGCGTGGAAGGAAACGGAACGGAAGTGTGAGGAAGAAGGCATGTAAGCGACAGAGAGAAAGGTTGAAGGAAAAAAGGTGAACAGATAGATCAAAAGACGTCAACAAAGTAGGTAGTAGTTTAAGGAGTTAATAAGAGGTTTAATTAATTTATCTGGCGTTTTACTTAACAATCTAAGGATCCCAAACACTACATTTATATCTTAGGACATCTGATTAATGGTTCCATCCCTTGTTCCAGGTGGATTGGAAGGGAAGTACCGCGTTGCTGCACCTGAGCTCATGCAAGACACATTCATGAGCGATTCGGAAGACGAAGGAGGTAAAGCATAAATTATATTGTAGGTTAACCTGTAGAGACGCCTCACAAGCGTTGCAATACCGCTGCTATTCAGTAACAGACTTTCCATTGCCTAAAACATACTGATATATTTCATGTGCTTGGAAAATGTTTATCTTCCACCTCTACCATGGCAGTTGTTTGTAGGTGAAGTGGAGTGTCCCATACAACAGCAACAGCAGTACCGCTACATGGCGAGCGAGGCGGGTACTCTGCAGCGAGCGCGGCCGCTTGCCGCAGACCACACCGTGGCTGATGGACATCTGTGGCCCAGCAACAATGATAAGAAGGTCGCCACTATTGAACGACAGCCTGTTGATATCGGGTAAGAATATCCCAGCACTCATTAGCACATCCTTATTTTAGTCCCTTTCCCTTTCCTTCGTTTTCTTAAGAGGTAGGGATGGGAAAGAAAAGTGGACGTGACGAGAAATATATCCTCTTTATGTGCGTCTCCTCTTCCGTCATTTAAGGTTAGGCAACGCATCTGCAATTGCGATGTCTATAGTCAGCGGTCGCTTGCTATTTCGGCGAATTTAGGTGGCTTGCTCGTTTGCCAATGTAATAAAAAAATTAGACCTAAGATGCTGGCATATGTACCTCTCTTATATCTCATGTCATATCATTCAACTTATTGTGAAACAATTTACTTTAAATAGCGCAAAACAATATTTAAGAGAAGTCCCTGCTACCTGAAACACAGCTATTACTTGTTCAGGAGACAGAGTCCCATCGATTTTGTATAAAATTGTTCTGGTCCAATAATTTATTTATTTATTAATAAGTTGCTAATTGGTCACATCAGCTTGACAATCTCAATTGTTTTGTCCTTTAAGATAAATGTGCATTTAAAAATCGAATCGAGGAACAATTGAATGGCTTAAAATCACACGCAACTATTTTATATATATTAAAATGTAATGCATGTTTTTGTGTGAGTTCACCTCAAACTATAATAACAAAATGACCGGATTTATGGTTAACCAGGAAGAGCCGAAACTGTTCACAATGGTCTGAAAGTCAGGTGATGTCATCCGAGTGTTACGCCACTTGCAATGACATCAGCAATGCTTGTAATGAGTCTGTGAAATGATTGCGTTGCACGTGCCTTTTAAGGTGTAGTGATGTGATCATTGCAGTTCGCACTTAAGTTTAGTGATGTGCATTAAATCCAACAGAAATGTCGATAAATTTAAAAACAAATGAATTTTGCTTGGATGTTCCTGAGTAGAAATTGGCTCTATATTACGTTAATCTAACTAGTTTTTCAATCCTAAAAAAACTAGCACCTTCATCATCAATTGATGTCTAATCTTAATTTTTCAAATATATCGCGTTACTTAATGACAAGTTGCAATTGCTGTGGTTTTAGCAAACGAGGTGTAACTTAATATTTATGTAGCCTTGTAAACAATATGACTCACCTATATTTAAGACTCGCTTGGAAATCGATTTAAGTTTTAAAATTCAAAATAATTACCTTTTTTATTTGTAGTTTGCCGTAAAAGGCATATAATTGATCTTATCATTTAAAAACTACAATGAAATGGGAAATCTTCTATTCAAAAGTTTCGATGCTTTACATCAGAGGGTCTATCACGAATAATCTTACTTCTTACCAATGTTATAAATGCGAAAGTTTAGATGGATGGATGGATGTTTGTTAGAGTTTGTAGCCTAAACAAATGAACGGATTTCGATGAAATTTAGTATAGATGTAGAGGATAGTCTGGAAGAACACATAGGCTACTTGCTTTTGTTTTTTTTTATTCCTCGCGGACGGAGTCGCAGGCGAAAGCTAGTATAGATAAAAAACGTATTCGTAACGTCATACGACAATGAGATTTGTTGGTGTACTTTACGCCAGGTACATCATGTCATTTAATACAAATTCTGTCGACGACGTCACTAAAGTATTCTCACGAGTATTCATGATAAGCTCCCTGATGTAAGATATATTTTCTCAGTCAAGGTTACATCTACGTTGTATTGAATGACGTGTTTTAGTGCATTACAATGGTGTCAGGATATTCAATTGATTCACTCAATGCACTAGTTGAGATTCACTTACTATACGTGTTACGGACGTGCTCAGAAAATTTAGTTTGTTTGTCTAAAGCCAGTGATAACTTGGAATACAGATTTAAATGTAAATATGTTAGTTCATCAACATAATTTATTTATTTATTTATATAGGAATGCCAACAAAACATATTAAAATAGAAATACCTACATACAATGGTTTAAACTCAGTTAAAAATATGAACATAAACTTTAATTTACAGGCAAACACAACATTCATAGATAGAAAAACAATCTGCAAACAACAGTTATCTTACATCTAAGAAGTTCGCACTTGTTAATGGGTCTATCTTGTGGTCTCAGTGTACAAATTTAATTTTTAGACCACATAACAACTCTGCGTGAAAATGGTTAGAAAATTCAGAGAAGCGTCACGTTATGTCAATTTCGTTACATGAGAGAGAACGTGTTGTATCTCCTTCTCGCTTTTTATCTGATAATAGTCCTTATTGTAATACAAATAGTGTTGCTTATCATTTTCAGGTTCCTGGTGTCGTTTGTGGTGGACGCTCGTGGTGGTGCGATGAAGGCGAAGAGACGCGGCGGAGTGCGCATTATAGTGCCCCCTGCAGCTTGTGCTGCGCCCACTAGAGTTACATGCCGGTAAGGTTAAAGATAATCTTATGTGTTTTAAAGATTAGTATGGTATGGGCATGTTTTGAGAAGGGATGTATCGCATGTACATGGGGAACGTTAGTTATGAGTGTGGTACACCGGTAGAGGTAGACCTAGAAAGAGATGGATTGCTTGAAATTTGAAATTAAGAAGCGAGTGATGACTGAGGTGACGGATAGGTATTTGAAGGACGAAAACCCGGTTCGCACTACGAGTGTAGAATAAGGTAGGGGAGATGATGATGAATCTTCTCTATATTCTGGACTCTTTAATTACTAAAACTACTTGAGATTTTTTCATATCTAAAACTAAGAAACTGTAAACTTTATTTTTTCAAGGTCAAATAATCTAATATTTTAAGGATATTTTGCTAGTATATTTTTGAGCGATATTTTTTGCATAGTAATAACAAAACTAGTCGCATAATAATTGCAGTACAGTAACACAATAGTTTTGAGTCATTTGCTAAATTGAAAACTTTTGGGACTGTGCCCGATGACGCATAGTTTGTTTATTTGGGTTTTGTTCGAACTCTAAAGATTTGCATATAAACATTACTAAATAATAAATTTAATTTACTTTTCTTATTAATCGTCGGTTTTAAAGTTACTTGATACTTGTTATAGTGCGGCGACACGTCGTGCTCCGGCCGCGGCGCCGCCCCCACTCATGGAAGGCGAAGCCTTAGCCTCGAGATTGCTAGAACTACAACCACAGGGTGCTAAATTTTTAGCGTAAGTATTAACTTAAAAAATTTAACATTTCTTATAAGACAATGTGTTTTTAAATCATTAATGATTATTGTAATTATTTTGAATGTACTTAAAATTACCTTAAATAAAGGGATTTTCTTTTACCATTTGAAATTATGTACTTTTGTTTGTAATACAAAACAATGTCTTATTTCATATTTGTATAACAATGTTTATATTTTATTTTAGTATTTTAATGAATTATAAACGAACACATCAAAATATGAAATTTAAATAATATTTTTCTAACATTTATTCAATATTCTTCTTTTTAATTTAATAATTTTGCAACACCCTGTACAGTCCGGTAATAATCGAAGTACCTATCTTCACGGCGTCGTGCGCCGAGCGCGAGATCGTGGTGCTGCGCTCCGACACCGGGGACACCTGGCAGGACCACTACCTGCACCACAACGACAACCCGCTCATACAGGTGCGGCCACACTGAGGGAGCCCTTAGTAGCACCCCTAGTACACAGCAAACGGAACTAACAATGATACAAATCACCCTTTAATATTACACAGCAAAATGTTGAATAGTGTTTATGGAAATTTCTAGAATCTCTAGGTCGACGACTAGCTTACGACTCTAGACGACTTTATACTAGCTTTTGCCCGGGACACCGTATGCGTGGAATTAAAAAAGTAACTTAGCCTATGTGTTTTTCTGGCTATCCTCTACATCTATGTCAAATTTCATATATATACTTTCAACAGTTTAAGCTACAAATTCTAACATCCATCCATCCATACTTTACTTACTATGACAGAAAAGTCTACACTAAGGATCTCCTTTAGCATCCATCGTGTAGTAAAGATATCACTCTAAGGGCGTTTAACATTTAAGTCTGTAAGAACTTTTCTTAATAACTAAGATACACATATAAAACATTACCCTAATGTTGTTAAAATATTTACTAGCTGTGGCTCGCGACTTCGCCCGCGTGAAAAAAAAATATAACCTATGTTACTCACTGATAACGTAGCTTCTTAATGGGGAAAGAATTGTTTTAATTGTCCCAGTAGTTTTTGAGTTATTTCAATACATACAAAAGCCAAAAATACAGATATTTCCCCTTTATAATGTTAGTTGTTTATAAACGGCTCGCTGTAGAGTACGTTGTAAGGTCGAGCCTAATTCGGTGCGGTTGAGGTGAAATTATTTAGCTCATTCGCAATAAACCGAAAATAGGACGCTTCAGAACTAATTATAGCGAACTGTGAAAAGCCCTTGTAATAGGTAATTATTAATAAGGTCAGCAGATACTCTTAAAATGTTTTCTATATTTTTACTTAATATTATAAAGAGTAAAAATTTGTATTTTTGGATTTTGTGTGTTGAAATAACTCAAAAACTACCAGGCCGATTTCAAATATTCTTTCGCCATTGAAAACGTTATCAGTGAGTAACATAGACATGTCTCATATTTGTTAATTATACGCAGTAGAAGTCGCGAAAATCAGCTAGTCCATACTAATATTATAAAGAAGAAAGATTTGTATTTTTGTATGTATTTCAATGAATAAATAACTCAAAAACTACTGGGCCAATTTTAAAACATCTTCATTAGAAAGTAAATTTATTAGTACTCAAAATTATTAATGGCCAGTAACTAATCACGGCCAGTAACTAATAACAGTTAAGCTAATATAAACTCTATGGTACTAACAATAGATACCAAATTGGTTCACCAGGAGGCTCTAGCGCGCGAGCGTCAGGAGTACGGGCCGAGCGGCGAGGCGCTGGGCGAGAGCGGCGAGCGCGTGACGCGCGTAGTGACGTGCGACTTCCCGCACTACCTCGCAGTGGTGTCGCGCGTGCGCCAGGAGGTGCACGTCATCGGCCCCGAGGGCGGCACCGTCTCCAGCGCACATATACCGCAGGTAACATCACTGCATAAAGTTGCATGTGGTAGGCGATAATTGTTTATAACACTAGCTTTCGCCCGCGACTCCGTCCGCGTGGAATTAAAAAAAAACAAAAGTGAGTAGCCTATGTGTTTTTCCAGACTATGATCTACATCTATGACAAATTACATCGAGATCCGTTCAGCCGTTCAGGCTACAAACTCTAACAAACATCCATCCATCCATCTAAACTTTCACATCTATAATATTAGTAAGATTAGTAAGATTAGTAAGATTTTATAATATCTGTGATTAAAATAGGTATTAAGTTTTTTAACAAACTATGAGCAAAAAAAAATAGCTCGAAATAAAGTTTATTATTATATTATACCAACTATTTCTTATAAATGTTATATGTATGAGCATATAAACCTTTCACTAAATTAGCACAACTATTTAGTCTCGCTTTGATTCGAGCTTATATGGAGGTGCGCACTACTCGAATTTTGAGCAACTGAACAGTTCAATTGGCTGCGAAACAATCGACAGCAGTTGTGCGATAGTTTAGTCAAAAGTGTGCGCCGGCTCTTAATTATAGCGACTGCTCTAGTGATCCCTTTCGAAGGCGTTATTGGTTTGTTTATTTAATAATGCCACGTGTCAGGTCCAAGCGCTGTTCCCCCCGCAAGCGCTGACGAAGCGCATCCGCGTGGGGCTGCAGGCGCACGGCGCGGCGGCCGAGCTGTGCCGGCGCGTGCTGCCGCGCCACGCCGCCGTCTCGCCCGTGCTCACGGTGGAGCCGCGCCGCCGCAAGTTCCACCGCAGCATCACGCTCACCGTGCCGCTGCCGCACCAGGTACACTCACCACACTCCGCGATGGCACACTCACAGATTGCATTGTTCCTTACAACGAGAAAAAGTCCTCCAGTTTTTACTGTCAGTACTGGGATGGATTGGCGCAACACTAGATCTTTGACATATACGTCCCATCCCTATCTGATACCTGTCAATGTTATTCAGTTAATTGAATAGCGCGCCATTCTAGTGGACGAAAAAGGAGTAAACAGCGAATTGCATGCATTACATTGGTTATAAGTACTTTTAAGTCTAGTGGGAAACGGCCTGAGTGTTAATTAAATTAAACACGTCGTCCAGACACACGTGAAAGCTGCATAAAATTAATTGTTGTTCATTATAATCGTCTCAATGTGTAAAAAGATTTAAATGACTCTAACTTTTAATGTGAATCCGCTAGATTCCCCGATAGTACGTACAGTCGGGAAAACTGGCGGTTTTTCACCTCAAGAAGTACAATCGTGAACTTGTTGAAACGAGACAGGGAATAAAAACCAATACAACGTTATAAATGTGTATGTTGCAGGGCGCGGTGCACGACAAGGCGTCGACGGCGACGCTGCGCCTGCTGTGCTCCATCATGGGCGGGCAGGCGCGCGCCGTCTGGGAGGACGTCACCGGCTCCACGCCCCTCACCCTCACAGAGGACTGCGCCTCCTTCACCACCACCGTCTCCGCCAGGTAACACATTGCAGCTTATTGAGCTTTTCTCATCAATTTGATATTAAATTCTTTGTTTAAATATTAGACTTATTTTGGTCCTTCGAGTCGGGACTTCTTTTTAACATAACCTCCTAAGACATAAGACTTATTACTACTACATACAGGACGACGATACTTACATTATTTAAAACTAGCTTTCGCCCGCGACTCCGTGATAATAAAAAAAAAAACAAAAGAGAGTATCCTATGAATTCTTCCAGACTATCCCCTACATCTGTGCCGAATTTCATCAAAATCCATTTAGCCGTTTAGGCTACAAACGCTAACAAACATTCATCCATCTATCTATCTAAACATTCATATTTATAATATTAGTAAGATAAGAGAAAATAGGCTCATTGATTTTGGTCCTTCGAGTCGGTACTTCTTTCTAACATTAACTCATACGACTTATTACTACTGTATAGAAAACGGCGACCGTTACCTTATTTAAATTAGTACACTAATCTCTCCATACAGGTGTCATTACATTGTAATTAAATTGTATATTTATTTCAGGTTTTGGCTCATGAATTGTCAAAACGTGAGCGACGCAACTAAAATGGCTACGGAATTGTACAGGTAAATTCGACATTTTTTTACTTTATGATAAAACGATTGTTCATTAAATAACGAATTCGTAGTAAAATATGTAATAACGTATGTATGTAATTGCAGAGAAATGTTATTGGTGCCATTTGAAGTACGCATTGTAGTACTGGGCAAGCGACTTGACGCGCTGGAAGGCAGACTGCTGGTACTCTACATTACTGACAGATATGCTTACGACACGCTTTTAAAACAGGTACGTTTATGATTTAATCTTATTATAGTAATAAGCATGCGAAAATTAAAATAATTTTATTGAAATTCATGAAAGAGGTGAAAAATGGTAGTGCCAATGGTAGTGCCCGCTTTAATATCTTAGTACTGCAGGGCACGCCCGGTGTAATACCACGACCATACAGAAGACAGGCGTGAAATGGAAGCAATTCCGTGTTTCGTCTGATGAGTGTGGTGCTGGAGGCCTTTAAGCCCCTTTTTCTTTACCACCCTTTTCTTATAAGGAGAGGATAGAAAAGGGAAGTGGATTTGACGGTGGAAGAGATGCATAGGAAGGGGAAATACCCTCTTTATGTGCATATATCCGTCGGATAAGGGTAGGCAATGCATCTCCAATTGCGCATGTCTACGGGCAGCGGTCGCTTCGCCATTTTGGCGGATTCAGGTGGCCGCTTGCTCGTTTGCCACCTTATGTTATAAAAAGAGTTATCAAACTATACAGAATTTTGTAAGATAATCTTAATATTAGTGATATTTCAGGACATCCTGTATACATGTATTTTGTATGTTTTGTATGTAATAAAGGAGCACTACACGGAGATCGCGCACTCGACGGCGGTGCGGTTCCTGGACAGCAAGGATGTGTTCCTGGAGTTCTCCGGAAACCTGGTGCCCGTCACCAAGTCCGGCAGCCAGCCCATGTTCACCTTCGAGGTAACGTGCTTAGAATTTCTACTAAACAAGCATAAAACGAAGTAATTTATTTATTGTGTGGCATTAAAACTTGAAGTACAAGTTTATCCGACTCCAAAAAGACCATGACTTAATAACAGTCATTTTTCAGTGTTCGTAAAGTTTTAGTAGATTTCTAAATTTCATTATTATTACTGTGTTTTACATGACATTTCGTTAGTTTTTAATTTTATGAATTACTAGCTTTTGCCCGTGATTCCGTCCGCGTGAAATTAAAAATATATTTAGCAGCATACATGTTATATCCGTACCAAACTTTATGGAGATCCATATAGCAGTTCTGAAGTTAAATGAAAACATCCATACATACATTACTTTGATATTAATAGAGTATTGTGTAATATTTCAGGCTTTCAAGGACAACCGCGTGGAGTTCACAGTGCGCGTGAAGCACCACGAGGAGAGCCCCGCCGGGCGACTCTACTTCATGAACGATCCTAAGGTACTTATTGCCCTCTCTACCTACCCCTTTAAAATCATATATTGTTTCAATTGACACTTTCATTTTTTTTTTTTCATTTTTCATTTCGTTAAATTTTATTAAAAAAATATTTTTGATTGATAAATACATGTTGTTAAGGCACTTTATTTGTAATCAACAGGTGCTAGGTTCGAATTCTGCCATTTATTTGTTTTGAAGTTTTCGAATTTCATATGTGTACATAATTTACTCGACTTTATTACATTTTACGCACATATCTGCTAAGAAATTCAAAGATATGTGGTAAAGTCAACCTGCAGTGGACCAGAGGCTTAACCACTCCTAACTTAGGGTGGGCTCCGAGCCCCTGATTGGGTGGGGCGTAGTGATAGAAATGCCTTTATAGCCCGATGAAAAATAAATAAAACGTATGACCAAATGACATAATAGATTTTTTCTTTTTAATGGTTGTTATTGTGTGCAGGTGGCGAAGGGCGAGCAGTCGCAGACGCCGGCGTGCGTGCTGGACGTGCAGCTGCCGGAGCGCATCGCGCCGCGCGCCAAGAGCCACGCCGACTGCCTCAACCTCGACCAGTCCGGTCAGTGCCGCCCACACACACATACATTATACACTGTAAACTCCACCTAACGTCCCTCCATTTAACGACAAACTCCCTAAAGCGTCGAAATCAATAGGGAATATGCCCGTATTTTTTTGCTTTTTTTAAACAATTCTTGTTTTTATAAAATAACCAGAAAAAAAATTGACGCCAAAATACTCAACCATTGAGTTAAAAATAATAATTACGACCATTTTCGAGCGACTAAAACGCGACCGGAGTTGTCATGAGATAATTGACGTCAATCGTCTTATGCCATTCATATGATACGTTTAGGGAATTTGAATAAATACACTTTTTAATGATTAAATTTTACCACTAAATCACATTATATTTAAAAAAATCTTTGCAGGAATGTTTTTATAGTAATAAAGTATACTTAAAAAAAGTTTGGTACAATTTGGCGTCATATGCATATTGCCAATTGACTTTCGTTGGTTTAGCTTGTTTTCCATACAATAAGACACTCTACATAGCATTACATCTCCCATCCACTATTCATAAGTACCACAATTGTAATAAAAAGTACCTTTTAAGTCGTTAAAATTAATAAAAAAAAAACTGCGCGGCTGTGTACGTTCTTTTGTCCTTTATCGCTGAGATGGCTAAATATTACAAGATAAGAGTAAAATAAGTAAAAAAGTACCAAATAATTACTGGTGCAGCAAAAGACGTCAGCCAAAATTAACAGACTATACGCAATAGCGTTCAAATAAAATTATTTTTATATACGTAACCACTAACACTATTTTGAAAAAACATTTTTTTCTGATTCTGATTTTTCTTATCTTTATTTAACGATAACTAGAGAATTATAGAGAAAACGCCATAAAATTGACAGTCCCTTCAGTGTCGTTATATAGAGTTTATAACCCAAGTAGGTAACACAATTTCTTTTCCAAACCGCTACGACTTTCGATTCTTGAAGAAGCAAGAATATCACTCTCAAAAGCCGGCCATCATTGAAGTAGTTATGAGAATAAATAGTTCAATAATTTATTTAGTTAATTCGGCACAATTTAACAGTTACATTAAGATACTTTATTTTCATATAATAATTTTTTTTATTAATATAACAGGTTTCGACGCTCTAAAGGACGAACTGAGCTTCCACTGGGGAGACCCCAACAACAGCTTGGGGCCGGCCTCGCTGCCCGGACAGGGCGCCCAGCTCAATGGACATGTAAGAATATTACCATATGTAAAACTGTAAATACATTTACTACTACGATAAATAAATCTGTAAACATTTTTGTCTTTTCAGGACAAAATTATCACTAACGGAAATGTTAAATATCCCACAAGTGATGGAGAAGACAAGGATACAAAGCCTCAAGGTAATCTTACTATCTTACTAATATTATAAATGCGAATGTTTAGATGGATGGATGGATGGATGGATGGATGTTAGAGTTTGTAGCCTAAACTGCTGAACGGATCTCGATGAAATATGGCATAGATGTAGAGGATAGTCTGGGGAAACAGGTAAGATGCTTGCTTTTGTGTCTTTTTATTTCCACGTGGACGGAGTCGCGGGCGAAAGCTAGTATTAAATATATTTAGTATTAAAGTAACCATATTATATAAATGTTACTTATAAAAACCTTTTGCTTTTATCGCAGTGAACGGCGGCAGTTTGCATGTTGACTCCAACAAAACGAAAGCAACGTTTGATTCAGACGAAGATAAAACGCCAATGAACACCTTAGAGAAAGGCAAGAAGAAACCAGAAGGTGGTTCCTTCTTCGGCGGTATAGCGGACAAAGTGAAAAATGTATTCAACTACAGCGACGACAAGGACGAAGATGTTAAAGAATCGTCACCTAAACCGGAACCGCCGCAACCGCAGCCGAAACCACGAGAAACTAAAGAAAAAGAGAAAACCCCACCGAAACCTGCACCTAGACTAATCACAGAAGATTTACTTGAAAAAGTAGATGATATGTTCAAAGATATCAAACACAAACCACATATAAAAGATGAGGATGAATTAGACAGTCATATATATTCAACAAAACTAATCGTTGATGAAGAAAGCGATCGCCCATCGGGACTTGACAATATAACAGAAGAAGTCTACCAACAATACGAAAATATGCAACCAGTAGAAACTCCAGGTTGCTGCAAGACATCAGATCCATTCCAATTTTACACAGGATGCTGTGAAGGAAAGTACAAGAAAGGACAAAAACACCGACACGACGAAACTTCCAATCTAGTAGATAGAGTCGAACAGATAAACTTCACGGCACACGAGAAACTTGACGACTTATCTGATAAAGTACAAAATAATATTAAAGATGGATTAAATAAGCTTGAAGAAGAAAAAGACGGCATAAAAGAGAAAACAATTGAAGCGAGTGAAGATGTAATAGAGAAAACTGATGCATTAAAGAAAGGTTTAAAAGAAAAGGGAGACGAATGGAAATCTTCCATCGATGAAAAAGCGAAGGAATCTGAAAATGCATTAAACGATCAGTTAAATAAATTAAACGAGAGAGCTAATGACAAAAAACAAGCGATTCAGTCAAGTATTGAAGCAGAAATCGAAAACGCTAAGTCCTCCACTAAAGACACTCTGAGTCAATTAGCTGAAACAACTAATCTCGCCAAGAGTAAATTGGAAGACAAAGTTCACGAAGTTGATTTCGCAACTCGAGAGAGAGCTGAACAATTGAGACTTGCCGGTCAAGATAAAATAAACAACTTGGAAACAAATATATCAAACGTAAAAGATGCTGCAAATGAAAAGTCTAAAGATATAAGTGACAAGTTAAATAACGTACAAGAAAATTTAAACAACAATGTACAAGATCTTAAAAACGACTTGAAAACGAATATTAACAACGCCAAAGACAAAACGAAGGAAAAAATAAACGATGTTAATGATGCTGTGAATAATGCCAAGGATAAAGTACAAAAAACTGCCGCTGATACTAAAGCAAAGGCCGGAGAAAAGAAAGAACAAATTGAAACTGAAGTAAAAAAGAAAAAGAAGGAAGGTAAGAATTTCTTCACTGGTCTAGTGCATAACATCTTCGGAGAGAAAGATAAAATTGAAAACGAAATAAAAGAAAAGGCATCCGAAACACAAGAGTATACAGAACAACTAGTCAAACAGGCATCCGACAAAAAAGATGAAATAAGCGAAAAAATCGCCGAAGGTAGAGAATCTGCCGAACGGTTAGCAAAAGAACAAAAAGATAAAGCCAAGGAAAAGATAGCGGAAGCGAAAGAAACTAGTGATGATTTAATACAAAAGGCATCATCTAAAAAAGATGACATTGAAAAAAATCTGAAAAAGAAGAAGGTAGAAATAAGCGAAAATATTGAACATGTAGTACAAGCGACTCAAGATAAAAAAGATGAAGTACAACAGGCATTAAGAAATCAGAAAGATGAAGCAGAAAAAGCCTTTATAAATAAGACATCCGAAATCAAAGGAGCTGTTGATGACAAAAAGAAGGAATTAGAAAACACAGTAGAGGACAAATTGGATAGTTTGAGGCATACAAAAGATGAAGTACAAAGCGAAGCGAAGAGTCAACTAGAAAGGATATGGCAGGAGGCTGTGGAAACTACGGAAGAGATTAAAAAATCTGGCGAAACTCTAGCTAACACAGCTGCTAATAAAAAATCCGACCTACAGAACAACGTGTCAGATAAAATGGAAAAACTAAAAGAATCCAGCAAAGATGAGATTGTGTCAGTACAAAATGCAGCAAGTGATAAATTAAACGATCTGCAAGAATCAACCTTAAGTGCTTTTGATAAAGTCGAAAGTGCCGCTAAGGAGAAGGCTAACGCCGCTAAGGAGAGTTGGGAAGACGTGCAGAGCTCGGCGCGGGACACGTACGCCGACATGAGAGATGACGTCACCAGTCTGGAAAGCTCTGCACAGGATACACTGCACAGCTTCCAAAGCTCCGCAGGAAACACTTTCGATAGCTTGGACGAGTCTGTTAAAGAATACGTCAGTGGTGCTTCAAACACATTACAAAACGCCGAAAATAACTCTAAAGAGTTATTCGGAGATGTGAAAAATACTTTCGAAGGGTTCCAAATATCTGCTGATAATAAATTAGAGGATGTTAAAACATCCGCAAAGGATAGTCTAGAAGACACCGGTGCGAGACTGGGAGAGACTAAAGAGGCTGTGAAGGAGGACTTGAGAGGTGCTGAAGAGAGTGTTATGAACACAGTATCGAGTGGCGCTGATAAACTGGCAAGCGGTTTTGAGGCTGTAGGAAACTTTGCCCTCGGAGCTTTTGACCAAGGTACGTATTTATTTTTAGACCTTTATTTACAAGGGTGTCCTTTGTAACTTAAGTATTTGATCTTTATTTATTGTAGAGAGTGACATATGCACATCGTACACTTGAGGACAAAAAAATTGTTACGTTAATCTAAAAAGTTTTAAATGCAAAATTAAAGAAATAGCAATTTATATTATAATTTAAATATTTCAGGTGTAAAGAAAGATTCATCGACGAAACTTCTGGAATCTGAAAAGGCGCAATCTTCTCCACATAAGAAAAGTTCAGGGTAAGTAAACGATTTTTTAATTTCTTAATCTTTAAAAATTTGGGTATGCAAAATATTTTGGTTTATTTTCTGTCGATTATTTGAGGAATAAAACCATAACTTAGAATGTAAAATTGTAAATAACCGTTCACATGGCTACAGCACATCACTAATTCACATTGTCGCTAAGGCCATAAAGCACTTTTTACACTTTCAATTTTACACCAAATTAGGCGTAAAAACGCATAAAAATTTAAATTACTGGGTACTCTCTAAGGTTTTAAAATCGCCTTTATAAAGACGTATTACTTTAAATTGGGAAAATATCTAATATTATTGAATAGTGTATCTTATGTTATACGCTTTAAGTTCACATTTGCCTGCATCTAACTCCACCTGCACCAAATTACAGAATACCGAAGCTAAAGAGGAAGAAATAAGGCCGCGAACGAACGAACGCAGAACGATGTATGATATTTAGTTTTATTATTTATTGATGTTTTTACGTTAATGTGACAAAACGATGCTTTTGATTTTATATAATTTATAAAAAAAACACTATTCGCAATCCATTTGTGCTCTTTTGTATGGTGCTACAAACCATTAAAAATATGCATCTAATTTTTTAATCTGTGCAATTAAGTCGAAATAATCGTTTTGCTTCTATTTATCATCCAGTGAATTTGTAGCTATTGAATATAGCTTTATAATAGATATTTACGTATTTAATTCGCCTGTTTATTCGTAAACTTTGTACATTTAAGTACAAAATTGGCATAATAATGTTTATGCCGATTATGACTTATCATTTTAGAAATCTCTATTTAATTTTATTTAAATGCATGTTTTATTTATGGACCTAATAATTTTGACAAACAGTGTAATAAGTACGTTAAGAAAATAAAATCTACATTTTAAATATTCTTTGTTTTTATATAATTTAAAAATCAAATATAGGACGTTTTTATAATTTATACAGAGAATTATTGTAGTTAACTCATGTCTTATAATCTTGCCTGCATATATTTCGTTTCTATGTTGCAATATTTTTAAATTTTATATTGCTTTGAATATGTTTAATATAGAATTACCACCTTGACATTATATTTTGCAATAGTTTATAATGTTTTATGTTGCTTAACATAATTTTAATTTTAATAGATTGCTTTATGTGTAAATTGAAAAAAAAATTAGTTACTATTTAATAAACGTTGAAAGTTTCCAAAAGCATTTAAAACTGGCTATATTTTATTCAACAAACATTTTATCTCAATATTTACTTTCCTAATTGTAACATGAATAGATCTGTTAGGTTATGTATTTTTGTTACAACAGTCAATATTTGTAACATTGTTTTTGTCACAAAGAAACAAGCCATAATGCTTCATAGATTGTAACAATAAAATTGATGTAAGAATTTGATCTGTTAATAAAAATCAAGGAAATCAATATAATATAGTGAACAGCATTGCTTGTCTATATAAGTTGTTATGTAAGATATTATATAAAATGTTCTCGATCATTGTTTTGTTTTTTTACTGTATTTTTCATTCATTTTATTTTTCTTTTTATTAGTATTAATGTAAAAAGGACTATTATCTTGTCAGGTTTCCCTTTGGGCTTATCGGCCCAATGGGAAACGCCCATCTTGACTTGACATTTTGGAAAAAAAATGCATTAGGAAGTAAAAAATGGTATATTGAAAATACAATTTATTATATTATCTAGATGTTTTGAGGGTTCTGTTGAATTAAAATCTATATACTCTATGCACTGGGTCAATTCACTATGCACTAAATAACACGCTCAGCTAAGGGTAAGTTTTTTTACATATTCATTTTTATGTTGCATCACATTTTTTTTTAATTTTAAAAATCTGTTCATAGCCAATTCTTTTTTGTTATTTTCAAACAAAACTTTAGTTTAAAAAGGCTTTAAATTTAACGTTTTTTAGTCAGAAATTTTGAATATAGAATGGATAGATTATGGCAAATTCGTTAGTAAAATTTTAATTTGTAATATATGTTCCAGATTCTTCTCAAAGTTACGGCGCAATCAATGAAATTAAATTTGAATGCGGCATCGCTTCAATAGAACATAACTACAAAAATAGTCGAAGTAGCAAATAAGTGTTTAATCTGTGCATTTTAGGTCACATTTGTCGTTTGTAACATTTTTACAAACCGTAAAAATCCGGCATTTGGTGACACAAGTTAATGCAAATTTTGCAATAAAATAGATTATCTACCATAAGGTAATTTGATTAATGGTTAAAAAAATTAATTCTGTCTCAATTTTAGAGTAGATTTCTAGAAGACACTAGATATTTTAGACAGCTAAATATCTGGCCTTTTTTATGTGCTATTTTTAAATTTTAATTTACTGATATTTGAAAAACTGTTGAATCGGTGCATACAAGTTTTTGGTACTATTTCTTTCAAATTTAGAAAATCAAATATGTATACTTGAATGCAATTAATTACATTATTCTTAAGTTATATTTTTAACTTACTTACTGGTCTCTAAATTTGGATTAAAAACTTTGGACTTCCAAAAAATATGCCTAATATTACAAAAATATAACCTAAAAGATCTTTGTATTTTTTTTAATATCTATGCTTGATAAATTACGTTTTCGTATAAAGTAATAAATAAGTAAAAAGTATAACTTATTTTCGAATAATGTGAATAAAAATCAATTGCAAATTGACCCTTTTTCTTCCATTATTCGTAGAGTTGATGCGCGTTTTATCGAAGTATAAAATTGGCTACGCATCTAAATGTACTGCGAAAAGCAAATAGCGACTGATTGAATTTTGTAACATCCTGTAATCTTTGTATCACAAAATTTTATCCATGCACTAAAATAAGCTCTTTTTGTATTATTTTTTAAATGTCTTTGTTCTTACGATTTAAAATTTAGAACTAATTTTTGTATTAATTCCTCTATATGTTGTAAATGTCTTAATACACTTTATAATTGCAATAATTTAAGTCTTTGGTGTTCACTAATTTCGTATGAATGTAATGTAAATCGAAATGAATTGAGTGCTTGACGGTGGTTAGAAATGTTGGTTGGAGCGAGACGAACATATACACGATACTACATGTGTAAAAGAGACAGAGCATTATGTACGTGAGGAATCATTGTTGCCAACTTTAAAAATATGAAGGCCGCTTGTAAAATTGATATGAAATATTAAAAAGGGACTTGCCGCCTACAGAATGAAAGGATTTTGCATGTAATTGAAATAATAGTTATAAAATATTTAAAATTTTATTGACCCTATATTTTAAATTCTGAAAGTACTGTGATGCCAAATATATATGTATAATGATGTTTAATTGTAAAGTTGAATATAAACTTTTGTTGTTTTATTAATAGAGTCTATCTTCACCCTATTTATTGCTTTTTAGTAATAAATAATTATTGCGAAAAATTGTGTTTTATTTTATTCTTTGACTTTTCCACTCTCAAAACATTCTAATTGAAACTTAGCTTTAGAGCACTTTTTATACCCCTGTAACTTCGTTATTGATAAAGATAGAAGGTTGAAATCCTGAACATCAATAGATATGCAGGAATTCATTATATTGCCAAAATTTATTTTAATTCTACCTAGTAGTTTACATATTAAAGCTAGTTGAATTCTTCACTTTTTGCACAAATGCCTGTTAGGTTAATTTTAAGGCACTTCCAATGGTGCTACAAACTTGAAATTTAGAATTTAGTCAGCGCTTTATTAGATTAAAGAAAAACTGAAAAATCTTGACATTTTTTAGGTTTTTCATGACATTTAACACATTTTTGTAGGGAAAGCGAGATGACATTTTTTTATATTTTTCATGGGATGTTAAATTTAGTATTTACGTTCTTATATACTGGAAATGTAAAACCTTTTAAACCTCTTCTTACAATAATAGGGATAATGAATTGGAGTTCAAATAAAAAAAAATCATTGTTTTAAATCACATTTTATTTTATCTGTGTCACACATACGTCTTCTGAAATGTGCCGTTGTACGACCTAATACTTTTCAATTCAATCTCTAATATAACATACAATAATTTCATATTCCACAAAGAGTAGAAAATGCATTTGTAAATAAACCGAAATGCATAATTTGTTAACGGAATGTTAATCGGTATATGTTACTTATCACATATATTGTATACAAACATACGCTTAAATCCAACATAGAATATTTCATAAAATAACAAGGATTCTATTTTAAAAAAATGAGATAATTACACTAAAAATTCAACACAATATTTCAATACTGTTTAAAACGTCAAGATTCATAAAATTTACTAAATAAAAATATGTTATATAAATCAATACATGTTTAAAAATATTAATCTCTATATAATATTCATACTGTATTTTGTACCTAATAATTATTAATTACACTAATAAAATGCATTAAATGCACATAAATATAAATTCGTCCAAACACTATATTAATAATTAGCTATACAAAAAACCTCAGCTGCCCGCGTCCGTCTGCATAATACTATCACAGTCCAAATAATCTGTATCTGTTAATTGTTGTTTTATCATCAAATGTGGAGTTTTCATTATTTTCTTTTCCTTCAAACATTTCGGTATAACCTCTTTGGTCTCCATAAAGTATTGTACAATAACTCGTTCGTAAAACAAAGCGAATACAAAATTAAAGGAAGCCAACGCCAACACAATATAACCCATTAAATTATCTTTAGGCATTTTTAATTGGAAAAACTCCGACAACCATTTCGCTGGAGATATCGTCAAATATGCACAAACTGCCGTCATAATTACCACACTTATCATTAAATGTTTATTAGTTATAACAGAGCGGCGGTAGGGGGCGCCATGGCTGAAAACTACCGCTAAAATAATATATTGGAACATAGAAACTGCGAAAATAGCATAATTCTCCCAACATTCGTTAGCATTATCACCTTCGTAAGTATGACGCACGTACCACGGGAACTGCGTTATAGCGAGGTAACTTAAATACTGGATGACCGCTATCAAGGTCATCTGACCTATTAAAGACGCTAACGGAGCGAAACCTAGTAAAGAAGTCAACGGGGGTATTTTACACAATCTTCCTGTATGTGCTTCTGTCATACCGAAAAAGAAAGCGAAGTTAACGATTAAAGCGACATCTATAAAGAGATATTGGAAATCAGTGAGATTCGAGTCGAAGTAGTACAGGAATGCGACGGAGAGGAATTCTGTGAGGGAATAGGCGATCATGAATTTAAATACTCCGAAGCTGGTGGCGAGCGCGGCGCGTCCTTCTCGCAGGACGTGCGAGACGCAAGTGACGTCACGCTGCGCGGAGGTGAAGGGCGCGGCCACACTGCTCTCGAGGTCCGACAGCGAGATGCCGGTGTGGGCAGCGCGCAGCGCGCCGCAGTCGTTAGCGCCGTCACCGCACATACCTGTAATATATTATATTATGTAAATATAAAAATATATTGAATATCTAGACACTCGGAAAACATATAACATTTATATTTGACAAATTCATATCGATACAATCTTAGACTCGGGATATTGTACGAAGGTGATGATCTTGATCCTTCAAGATATTTGAATAAGTAACCTTAGTATAAATTTAATGAGAATATCTCCGACTCGTTTTGATTTATTTTGACTGTTACGGAAATATTTGATTCCCATGTATGGTAAAAAAAAACATTTTTCGGTAAAGTTTTTCGGGAATAAAATTTTCCATTCTAGAAGCCTTTAAATTTGACGTTTGTGTAGATCGTAGTTCAGCTTTTCTCCAACAGATGGCGTGGCACAATTTAATCGCAACATTAAATTAATTGTGTTAAAATAATATAAAGTTTTACGTACCAACGTAATACCCGAGTGCTTGATATTCGATGATAAGTTGTTGTTTCTGGTCCGCGGTCATGCGCGCGAACACGGCGCCGCGCGACACCACGCGCGGGACCAGCGCCGCGTAGCGCTCGCGGAGGATCTACACATACAACGACTTCTAGAACATTCTAGAACGAACTAGAAGTATCGGAGTTTCTTCAATGCAAACAATCAATACTTGACTCTTTATAATCTATACTAATATAAGAGGAAAAATTTGTATTTTTGTATGTATTGAAATAACTGAAAAACTACTGGGCCGATTTTAAAAATTCTTTTACCGTTAGAAAGGTAGTTTATCTGTGAGTACCACCATAGGTTAATTGCACGCAGGTGAAGTCGCGAGCAATAGCTATATTTATAAGACAAAAATGATAACTAAGAAAAGACCACATTTTTTATATTAATTTGGAGCTAAGTATCGAAATTGTACCTTCCAAGCGTCTCCAGTCATGACAATCTTGTAGTTGGGCATGTGGTGCGGCGCCTCCGGGTCGGGGGCGGAGTCCCCGCTGCAGGCCGAGCCGCGCCACGAGCCGCGCCCGCTGTCCGCGCCCCACGCACACATCTGCTCCAGAGACGTCTTCCGACCCACTGACACCTGGAAATTTCAACACAATTCATACATAAATTACAAATAAGCCTTAGCTTATATCGTTGAGCTACGGATCAAAAACATCAGCAGCTCTCAGATCTAGTTTACATGTGAGCCATGATCTGATCTGCAGGTCACTAACTTTCGTTGAGTTACTCATAACTAATTAGTACTCTTAAAGTCGTTACGACTCTCTACTTGTTAATGAAGTACACGTAATCTAATTTTTTACCAAGTTATCACTTCCTTAAAGAAGCATCTGCTGTTTCACCGGGCTTAAAATGACCGATTGCAAGCGCTAAATCTAAACTGCGTAATACCTAACTAGTAACTAGGCTAGGACTTCCTCAAAAACCTCAGTGCATGAAATATTTAAGTAACAAAAAAAAATCCCGAATGCATCAATCAAAAGCGTGTTTTAACTTTACAACAGCGCCATCTATTATCAGTGTTGACACTAACCCCGTGCAGCGTGCTCTCGCAGTAGAGCGCGGCGCCGCGCTCGTCGTCGTGCGGCACCAGCTGCACCACGCGCTCGCCGCTCTGCAGCACGCCGCACTCGCGCGCCACGCTCACCGCCGTGTGCACGTTGTCGCCTGTAACACGATAATATACAACTACCCTCACAGAAACAAATTAATAAACAACTACCCTCATAAAACAAATAGTAAACCATGTTCTCATTGACCATTGGTCAGCTAAATGTGACACCACTCCTAGACAAAGTGACTTTCGATTAGCAATGCCGCTTGTAGAATCGACAATGTTTCAAAACGTATGGAACTTACAATAACATTTGATAAGTCACGTGCTTGTCACGTATATATTAGGAATATGTTTATTCCTATATGTATATTCCTAATATATACGTGACAAGCACGTGACTTATCCAATGTTATTGTTAGTTCCATACGTTTTTGACTTTTCGATCAGTGTAAGCGAGCCAAATGTGGCTCTTTAGCTCTTAAACTGTGGCTCTTAATCAAACTTTCCAAGGAGATGTAAACATATTGTTCGCATTAATAAACATTTATTAAGTGTTGTCTTTACATTTATAGAGTCTCAAGGGGGCTGTCCCTGTTCCCCTGACGACACCAATGTTAACAAGTTAAGTATAAAAACAACCTATTCAACAACCTTTAGGAGGTGCACTCCAGTGAAACTGTACATATTGTTGTCTCTTTCATTCCTTTTAAGAGAACAGAGATAAGAATATAAGTGCAATCGGAGTATACTAACCGGTAATCATAACTACGTGTATGTTAGCCTCCTTCAGTTCCCGTATGATGCCGGTGGAGGCCGCCTTCAGTCGGTTCTCCATTATCACCAGCCCCAGGAACTCCAGCTCACACTCGACCTAAAAATATACATATTTATTTAATAGTAACTTTCGCGCGTGATTCTGTCCGTGTGGAATTACTAAAGAAGTAAGTAGCCTATGTGTTCTTCCAGACTATTCTTCTTATATATCGATATCCGTTCAGCAGTTTAGGCTACAAACTCTAACATCCATCCATATATACTTTCGCAATTATATTAGTATGAAATATGATGTTGGGTAGTTTACAAAAAAAATCCGCCACCTTCTTCAAACTTTAATTTGTATTCTGAAAAAACGGCACTCCCATTCGATACTTTAACGTAGATTTACAAAAATCTTTACTATGGGACAAGCTTAGTGACCAATTAACGATTCTAAGTGTGAAATTAGATATTCAAAATAGAATTGCATCGGGATGTTATTTTTTCTATAAGATTTTGTCAAATTACCTCATCCCTGGTCATCTTCTGCAGCTGTTTGAAGGTGACCTCCATTATCTTGGTGGAGATGGCGATCACGCGGTACCCCTTCTCCGCGTACGAAGCCAGGATTTCATTTAGATTCTCAGGAACTGTAAAATTCAGTAATTACATAATAAATAACTATTACTTCTTATTTTGAAATAAGAAACTAGATAGTACGATAAAAAAATTGATAAATAATGTCCACTTACATGATAATTTTGTCATACTATTTTCTTAGAAAATACAATTAGGTAGGCAGTGTAATACGCAAACGACAACATAATAAAAAACTGAGTATCACATACATTTTTTCTATTTTTTCTTACTCGTTAAGTCACTAAGTATATATCTATTTTTTTTATTATCCGTCGAAGTACAATTCACTGCTGTAATTATTTGTAAAAGGCGGATTAATGCAAGAAACAAAGTAATCTGTAAGTATAACACCAACAGACGTCCTCACTCTACGTCTGTATTTTTGGACATTAATATTGTATAGGACACTAACTCTCGGCAGAAAGTTTCTCTCTCTCTCTCTCTCAATCTCTAATTCAATGAATAGTGGGCCCCATTGTTACTTCGATGATTTCTCTAACGTCTAGGTTGAAAATAATTGTAAATATAAAAAAACCAGATTAAAATACATCTGGATGACATTGACAGCTATCATAGTGATGGGACGTATGTCAACTAGTGTTGTGTTCTCCATCGCAATACTGATTTTCTTCTTAATTATTGCTAAGAAGAAAATTTTCTTCTTAAAAAATTAAAAAGAAAATATGTACCGGTGTTTGTTCTGCAGAGTGTACGCAACGTCTCCGGAGCCCCCTTGCAGTAGACGCGCAGCACGTCCTCGCCCAGCAGACGCACTGCTACAGAAGACCGCTGCAGCGACGACACGAACTGATACTGCTGGACTATACCCACTTCTAACGGCATCTAGAAAAAACAGAGTTTCAAATATATAGAGGAGGCAGAGTTGACACTTTTTTCACTTTTGAAAACATATATTAATTCATTTTATTAGAGTCTTGGCTCCTGCACTAGGTTCCCCTGCTGCAGGAGCCAATCACTTTCCCCATTTGTATAAAGCAATACATATACGTAAGTGTCTAAACAAATAGAAATATTTTGAAACGTTTTTCGCATATTCAACGCTATTTATTGACAAATCCTCAAAACCACATGTCAATTAATTTAAATTAATAATTACCATTAAATGTGTCATCAAATAATATCTATACTATATTATAAAGAGGAGAGATTTGTATTTTTGTATGTATTAAAATAACTTAAAAACTAATGGACCAATTTTAAAAATTCTTTTACCGTTATAAAGGTATTTTTTCTGTGGGGCTATCTGTGTATCTATAGGTAATGTTTTTTAATTTCACGAGAGCCACGTCATGCAACACGTCAAATAACATATTTAAATGTTCATGTTTAATTATTTTTACTTCATTTTGTAAAGTGTGGAGTTTATAATAAATTTGAAAAATATTTTATTACGTCAACACAACACGAGGTGGCACTAAACCTTACTGATATAGTACCTGTCAGAGAAAGTACCGGTGAAAAAAATTGTTCATTATGCCTCATCTATACATTATTTGAATCTCTTTAATAAAAACATACGTTTTTCGATAGGAAGCAAACTTATTAGAGATACAGTTTTAATGATCTGCTTAACTAATATACAAGCCCATGTATTAAATTTTATTCTTACATGAATATCATCAACATTGATGTTGGCAGTTTTCTTCGGTCTGACAATAGTGGGCGTCAGTATCTCGTAGTTGGACAGCTCCGGCACGTCAGGCTCTTCTAACGTCCATCCAGTTGACTCAAACATCTGGAAATAATGAAGAATTTGTGTTTTTGTTCGTCATAATTTATATTTTACGTGATTGTACTTTACAAAAAATAGGAAGGCAATATTCTCTCTCTCTCTCTTTCGTTGTCTAAAACTTTTATTAACTAAATATTTTCTACTGACAAATCTGTTATAGCCACTAAAATTATAGGTCACATTTGGATGCTATGCACTTAACTTTGAAACATAGAATCACACTAATATTATAAATGCGAAAGATTGGATGGATGGATGTTTGTTAGAGTTTGTAGCCTAAACTGCTAAGCGGATCTCGTTTAAATTTGGCATAGATGAAGAAGAGTCTGAAAAAACACATAGGCTACTTGCTTTACTTTTTTTATTGCATGCGGACGGAGTCGCGGACAAAATCTAGTATCATATATAAAGAATATGGATTTAATTATCGCAAAAGATCTTAGATATGTTGTTACTAAATCTTGATAACTTGATTATTCTGTAAAAAAATACAGTTTTTTTTCACTCTGCTTACTTTCAGGTCCAAGGGGTCTCCTGCCAGCTCCCCATTGAGCAGGGTGAGGCTGTGACAGGTGGCCATGCCTATCTTGAGGTCGTGAAGGTCGTTCAGCTGGCGCGGGTCGCGCTGCGGCCGGCCCAGCCGCGGCGGCGCGGACGCTGCACTGACGCACACCACGCCCCACATGTCCAACCCATCCTCTGTTAATGTACCCGTCTAGAAGGAATAGAAGCTTCTAGAATCAAGTGTCATCATCACCAGCGGGGCGGAGTTTATCCTAAGTTAGGGGTGTCTAGGCCAAAGTCAACCATGCTGGCCCACTGTGGGTTGACTTCACATATATAAACTTGTCATGACAATATGCCAGTGCAAATCTATTAGTAACTATTATTTTATTAAAAAAACACTATCATACTAATATTATAAATGCGAAAGTGTAGATGGATGTTTGTTAGAGTTCATAGCGTAAACTGCTGAATGGATCTCTGAAATTTGGCATAAATGTAGAGCATAGTCTGGAAGAACATATAACATAAGATTATTTAAACATATAGTGAAATTTTAAGACTATCAACATTTAAAAAATGGTACTAGCAGTACAAGTGTTGATTTTTTTATAAAATAAGGTAGCAAACGTGCAAACGGCCACCTGATTCCACCGAAATGTAAAGCGACCGCTGCCCATAAACAGTCGCAATTGCAGATGCGTTGCCTTCTCTTAATTGACGGAGGAGGAGACGCACATAAAGAGGACATTTCCCCTTCCAATGCGTCTCCTCCACCGTCAAAACCACTTTTCCTTCTCATACTTTCTTCTGTGGAAAGGGGTGGAAAGAGAAAGAGACTAAAATTAAGCCGCCAGCACCATACTCATCAGACGAAACGCGGAATTGCTTCCATTTCACGCCTGTCTTCTGTGTGGTCGTGGTATTACACCGGGCGTGCCCTGCAGTGCTAAGATGTTAAAGAGAGCTCCACAAGTGTAAAATAATGTCCCCTCCCCTGTTACCTTGTCGAAGCACATGCAGTCGAGGGAGCCGCAGACGTTGACGGCGCGCGTGTTAAGGCAGGCCACACGCGCGCGCCGCAGCCGCGCCACCGCGTACAGCCGCCCTACCGTCATGGCGGCCGGCAGCGCGGGCGGCACCACGATCGTTATTATATCCAATGCTTTTATTATCACGTCCTTCACTGTTAATGAACGACTTGCCTGATAAAAATAAAAAAATACACCTTAGTACATAATACATTAAGATTCATACCATTATTCGAAATATGTTCGTTATGAAATAAAAATTAACGTGGAAAATCAATAACAAGTCAAAGAAAAAATGTACAAGACGTAATATTAAAAGTCTAAAAAAATGTAAATAGAAAAACTACACAATTTATAGCAAAACTCGATAAATAATTATACTTTCTAAAAATAAAGGAGTAAAAGAACAAAAACTGAAAGAGATAATCATCTATACTTCTATACTAATATTATAAAGAGAAAAGATTAGTATATTTAGATTTTTGTATGTATTGAAATAACTCAAAAAACTATTTTAGAATTTCTTGCACCATTAAAAAGCTACATAACCTCCGAGTAAATTTTTAATTTCAAGTGGACGAAGTCGCGAGCAACAGCTAGTGAAAAATATTTTTTTTACTAACCTTAAGTGCAACAGTATAACATAAACCCACAATAGAGATACAAGCTAATATGAAAATAAACTTGTATGAATCCCTATCGAACTTGAAGTCAGCGGGCACAGGGTACAGGATGCTCCGTACTAACTGCCCTTTGCTCGTATTGTACCCTGTGCGGAGTACTAACGCCCTGTAGATAAAAAAAAAACATCTATGTAGATTATTTAAATCCTTTTATAAATTAATAAAATTTGAGACTAACATGAAAGTTTTTTTTTAGATTTATAGAACATCCTGTAGCAGAAGTTTATATTGGTTTATGATGGTTTTACTTTAAGATAGTTATGTGAATCGGTTGGCTTATCGTTTTATTTTTTTGTTTAATATTTTTTTATCTTAGATTTAAATAACATCCTGTATATAACAGAACTAAGGATATTGACTGAATTAATTTCATATCACAAATCACACATTTATTAAATTATTTAAGTGAGAAATTTAATTTATTAGAGTGACAAGTTCAATCTTACTAATATTATAAATGTGAAAGTTTAGATGGATGGATGTTTGTTAGAGTTTGTAACCTTAACGTCTGAACGGATTTGGATGAAATTTGGCATACATGTAGAGGATACTCTAGAAGAACACACAGGCTATTCACTTTTTTCTTTTCAAATCCACGCGGTCGGAGTCGCAGGCGAGAGCTAGTAAGTTATATTCTTACCTAACAGGTTCGTTATTATAGTATCGTGTTTGTATAACTTTAGTTCCGCAGAATATAACACTAGAGGCGTGTTCCTTAGGATCGAACGGTCTGTCGATACGCTGTAATGCTGTCTTTGTCACTGGCACGGACTCGCCTGAAACAAAACATATCTCGTAAATTCTGACTATTAAAAAAAATTTAGATATTTTCGAAATAATTCTAGTACAAATGAATATTTTTCCAAGCATTTTTATTGACATGACAAATTAACAAAGTTTTCATATTTTACACATATACATAGATCTAAACACGAAATCCCACGCTCCCTGTTAAGTAAAGGCTTCCTCCATCTATACTAATATTATAAAGGGGTAAGATTTCTATTTTTGTATTTTTTGAAATAACTTAAAAACTACTGGGCCGATTTGAAATTCTTTCGGCATTAAGAAAATACGTTATCAATGAGTAACATAGACTATATTTTTTAATTTAATGCAAGCGAAATCGGAAGCAAAAGCTAGTCTCACATATTTTGAAAAAAAAAAATTGATTCAAAACATTCCTAGTTCAAATTAATCAAACACGGCTAATTGCGTGGTATTCGGTTGTTTAAAATGTTTTTTTTTTTAAGTTACCAGTAAGCATGCTCTCGTTAAGTATAGCAGAGCCAGTCAGTAGTACAGCGTCACACTGCAGGATGCATCCGTTGGGAGGTAGGACCAGCACATCTCCCGGACTCAAGGACCTGCTGTCCACTGACCGATCTCCCCATAGCTGAACTGTATCGTGGGCTTCCACTGTCGCACGCAGGGTCTTCTGATTCTAAAGGCAATTAAACATGGTTAAATAATTTTAATAACAAAGGGTAGTAAGGTTAATCCTTAAATGTGTTAAGCTTCACAAATATCCTTATGAAAAAGTTGATTTAAAAACCAAAAAATACTTATTTTTACAAGATATATATAAAACAATTGAGAACTGACATTTTGAAATTAATCGACACATATTAGAAATTATAAGTAAGGAAGAAAACAATTTTTTACATTATTCTTCTCTATACTAACATTATAAAGAGATTTATATTTTTGTATGTATTGTAATAACTTCAAAACAGGGCCGATATCAAAAATTTACCATTAAAAATCTTTGTTGTTGTTGAGTAACATTAGTATATTTTTTTACATTCACATGCACAAAGTCACAAGCAATAGTTAGTCTTTAATATAAAATTTACACATAGCAACACTAACCTTATGTGTCTGTATCACAGAAGTGGCAACACCGAAGGTAGACATCAGGACAACAGCAATACAATAATAATAATAAGGCTCGGCCAACCACACCGCTATTGTAAATAATTGAAACACATAGAATGGGTTGAACACTTCCAGTAGTATTAGGGTCATTATAGATTGTACTGGAACCTTTATTTCGTTCAGACCATAAATATTAAGCCTGTAAATAAAATCACTATTATAGAAATTTCAAAAATGATAACTTTAGGGTTTAAAAAACAAAAAAAAAATTAAATTCGTTGTTTAAACTTCGCCAGTACAGTTGGATAGTAACGGTTACTAATTGGACTGACATTTAACTGGCATAATATCAACACTAACTTGCACTAGACTATACAATCCATGCCCGGTGCACACTTGTTCAGTTGTGTTGGCTAAACAAATACTGAATGGACTCACAGATCCCAGTTAGCCCTCACACTTGCCAGTTGATCGCCAGTCCAATTATTGCCTGCTGAGCAACTGTATTGCCCAAGTGTAACCCCGCAAACTATGCAATATTCAGTAAACTTGTTCGTACAATCGCGGAAATCTATGGTGTTCCACTTCAGGGAAAATTATAATATATAATATTAATAATAAAAAGATACTACCAATGTTTTTTTTACAGATACATTTATAAGCTGCATTATATTGATTTTTGTTCCGTCTCGTTTGAAAATGTTCAAACGATTATAACTTATAAGCTGGAACACCGCTAGTTTCCCCGACTGTACGTGTACGTATGCGCAATTTCGTACGTATACGCAATTACGTACGCACACGTAGAACGTATACGTTGTTGCCTTACATCCGCAGCCGCCTGTCCGCGCTGGGCGCCCGCGTGGCGAGGGCGTGCAGCTGCGAGCAAGTGGCACCGCTCTCGAGCCCCGCGAGCCGCGCCCACGCCGCGCGCGTCGTCTCCCATACCAACGTTTGTTTCTTGTGATTGAAATAACGATAGCTTTGGACATCTATAAGAAACCGTAGGCAATTTTTAACTCTCGTATCCATTTCCGTCATAGAAAGAGTATTCGCTCCAAACTATTTCATAAAAAAGTTTGCTATCGCTACAAATAATCCATGTAAATTCCATTTGATGTCACTTCCTTCTCAATCACGCAATCCATCTGTTTCTTCCCCTAGCGGTGTACCCCTCCACATTCAAACAGTCAAAATTACGTCCAATATGAGGGTCTCAAGCAGACACTATGTTAGGATTGACTAGACATTACCTTAGTCAACCACATTTAATAAAATTTTGTTATAAAAAAAATCATTAAAAACTAGAAATATCTGGAGCATATCTTGACGCAAACTAGAGTAAAACCACACAAATATTCAAAAGAGGTTGGTATGCATTATCTTGTTAGGATAGACAAGAGATATTTTCAACTTAAGATACTTAACATACAAAGTTAATAATACTTACTTAAAGTAGTCCCATCGTCTAAATGTATTGGAGTGTATAAGTCATCAGCACTGTCCAAAGTTCCTTTCTCACCTCCAATCTCTTCTTGAAAACCTTCATTTATCAGACCACTGCAACAAAGAGACTTTTTTAAATCATCTTATTAATCATCATTAATCTTGACAGCGGTAGAGCCTGCTTTAACATCTTAGCACTGCAGGGCACGCCTGGTGTAATACCACGACCATACAGAAGACAGGCGTGAAATGGAAACAATTCCGTGTTTCGTCTGATGAGTGTGGTGCCGGAGGCCTAATTTAAGTCCCTTTCTCTTTTTTTTTTTTTT